TGTGATATTAGTTGATTGTTGCAGGTCTGCCTTCATGCTGTCTTATCTTCTTTTACAGCCCTTTAACTGAAGGGAGATACCTCGCAGTGTTTGCTACTCTTCTCCACATGGCATGTCCTGTAAGCATGCAAAGATCTTCAAAGGTCTCCTCTTCGTTTCTTCTTTGTATGTGTTGGAGAACTTTTGGAGAAGTAATAGTTGATTCTTTGATTAATACTAACTACAGTCCTCTGATAGTGGTGTGTTCAGTCTGGGATGTTGCATTTCACCCTTTGGGTGTGAAAGAAATGTTTCTTCTGATTAGAGTGCATGTTTTAGTTGCCCCCTGCACTAGTTGGCTTTATAATTACCCACAGACACTGAAACAGAGCTTCACTGATTCTTCTCTCTGTACCCTCTGTTATTCTCTGTACATTAACTGCATGTCAATCTAATATTCTTTTGCTCTCTTGCTCGTATAAAGCATATTTTATCTTGTTTGATTTTAACCAATGGCAGTCATTTTCCAAGGTACCTTTGTGTCTTTATTATACAATAAAAGAGAAATGGTTTGTAATCTAAAGCGTAAGGTGAGAAAATCTAAAGATACTGCAGAATAATATGTAACCATAAAACATTTGGGTCAAAAACATGGACTTACGATTTTTCCCAAACAGCTACTAAACAGACTGATGAAAAAAAAAACATAATTTCACTTTGTAAACACTGAAGAGGAAGATTGTACTACAACACAAGCCATATTATTTGTCAGATAATTACTATTAGAGGCGACGGCTCACATAATACAAACTTAGCCATAATGTAATTTAGTGGGTGGAGCCAGAGGCTATAAGGTTTGGGTTAATATTGCTGTAAATGGTAGTAGCAGGACTTCCTGTGCCTGAAGTTACCATCCTGGATTTGCAAACAGAGTTCCACAAGTATACTTGATCCCATCATGCTCACATCTTTCATTAACATCGTGTCTTTTGTAACAGATTGTAATGTCCATACTCATGCTGAAGATGCAGTTGTGTGTTGCAGAGCTGTGACATAGGGGGGAATTAGCAATGGAGACCAAAACAGATTTTGTATCAGGATGTAAACGTGTTTGTTTCTGCTGTAAAGTCTGGACATTTTAACATAGAAGTGTATGGAGACTGAGTCACTGCTGGAGCTTCAAGTGGACATTAGAGGAACTGCAGTTTTGACACTTTAGACTTTTTCTGCATTGTGTAATTTAATGGGGTAAAAACAGACGTAAGCAGCCGTACATGACTTTTACATAAGATCAGTTTAAAAAAATCTTCTGGTCTCTTGGGTTTTGTGTAAACCTTCAGATTCACATTTTCAACACACATATTTTTCTTTAAGCTTCAGAGCAGTTTCTATAGTTTTGCTCTCAAATCATATTTTTGAACACAAACCTATTCTGCTTGAACCTACTGCGTACTTTCATGCCTTTATATTTTGCACTGATTAAAGTCACTACCATGTTACTCAGTGATTAATGTTTCTCCGTCGGTATCTGCTGTTTTATTCAACTCAGCACAAAAATCTGAAATCAGTAGCTGAGCCACCAATCTGATAAACTTCTTCAATGATAATGAATCATCGGTCATTTAAAATGTTGATGTTTTAAACAGGTCCGGTGCCTCCTAATGCCACCGTGGTCTTTGAGGTGGAGGTCCTCTCTGTGTCCAAGGGACCACGCACCATGGAGGCTTTTGGAAGGATGGACCTCGATAAAGACAAGAGTCTCTCAAAGGCAGAGGTAACTTTATTTTATAACCTGGTAATTACAATTGAAGCAAGGACACATGCTTATGATTTCTATCATAAAATAAGTCCTCTGTAATCCGATGACAGATGATCCCAATTCCACTTATTCAGCCTGACATCAGTCTTCAGTTCCAGGTCCGAATGCACCTTCAGTCCTAAATGACTGAATAGAAAAGTGAAAAGACAAAAAACTGCAGCACATTAATAAGGCAAGAGCCTGGAAACAGGGTCATCATATCTTAAGAACCAGATAAGCAGTCGAGCAGAATGGGCTTGTTTTATGCTGAAAATCAGGGTTATTAGGAGATACAAATGAGTACCTGGCCCAACTGCGTATCTGTGTGTGTGCAGCTTAAACATGCGTAGGAAATACCTTCCTACAAATTTGTTTCTCTGTAATATCAGTCGTGAAACTGAAACAACAAACTACATGATTGTTATGTAATAAAACAGGATGCAGCTCTGCATGAAATGTGCTTAGTTGGTCTGTTTTCGCACACAACTCTACCACTCTGGTGTATGTGGGTAAACGTGTGGCATTAAAGGCAAAAAACTGGGGTTCAACCAAAAAACAACAACAAAAAAACGGCCAAAAAACCTTTGTTCCTAAAATTAAGTAATTAAGACATTAA